AAATGGTGCTTTATGCGCGCCGAAATAACCTCGCACCCGGAAATAACTAATACGGCGACAAATAAGCCGAAAACGCGGGATTTCGTTACGGCCCCAATTTCCAGACAAATTGTGTCACACTTATTTTTTATTTTTGTACAATTCGATTTGCATTTGCACAAACGAAACCAATTTTCCGTGTTCACGTTTGATGTTACTTTCTTTTCTTTTCTTTTCTTGCTCAGTTTAAGGGAAAACAAAGAAATAATGAGACCTAATTTATATAAATTTATGGAAATGGAAGTGTTTGCGTCCTTTTATCTTTCAAATTTAATTGATTTCTGAATACAAAAGTTACGAAACTTAAAACAATATAAAGTTCAATAAACTAATTGAAACCATTAGATCTTTCCCAAACTATGCCTAAATATCCTAAACTAATGTAAAGTCAATATAATATGACCTCAGATAATGTAAACTAAACTAAATCTTAACTTGTTAATTAAGTTAAACATTGATAAAAGTGTATTCGTTATCTATTTTTTATTATTTTTTTAATTATATAATTTAATTAAAGAAATCACGAGTATTTAAAAAGTTTTACTAAGAGATTTTTTGAGATTATATTTCTTGATGAAATGAAGAAAATATAGGAACTCGTTATCCCTCGTGAATCGCCGCAATAAGAAGAAATAAATCGATCTGAAGAAGTACAAAAAAAAGATAGAGACCACCGGCAATTTGCAACAATCATTTATTTTTTCTCTCTCGCCGGATTTCTGCCCCTAATCCGAGCCGAAAGGTCCATCCGACAAGATTTTTTTCTTCTTTCCCTCTTCGTTGTTGTTCTTCTCATCCCAGCAGCCTTCATCTTTCGTGCACGGTGACTCGATGATGAAAATGTAGGGTGCAGCGAAAGCCAGCCGTCTGCGGGCTCGGAAAGGGCTCGTAAATCCCGGATGCGAGCCCTTAATCTTTTATTTTCGTTACGGAAACTCACCTGGAAATGCGCGAAAATCCTTCCAGAGATTCCATAAAAACAATTTAGCAAAATGCAATTTCAAAAGCCGTAAAAATAGAAACAATAAAGCATAATCTGATTTGTTTGTATTACATTTTATAAATTTATTTTATAAAACAAATCATGATTTAATCATGAAGCTTTAATAGATTTAAGTGCAAATAATGAGCTAATTGTTACAGTCGGTTAAAAGCGAAAGAAGTTTGAGAAAAAAAAATATAAATACAGAGAAAAGTTTTAATTTACAAATTGTGCGTGGGCGGAGAGGCAGAAAAGTTTCGCTATTAAACTGGCATTAGATGTGGAACTTTTCCTGGAGGCTGGAAAATTAAAGCAGCGATTGTCCCTTTTTTCGCTCACATTGTTTATCTTTTGTTTTGTTGCATTTTTGTCTCCCACGGTTTCAGCATGAAAGAGCGTAATTTGTTTACTCGAATATTTTAAATTTCGCGCGTTTTTATCTCTAGAATTAATTGTTTGCTTTACTAGTTACATTAGTATATATGTAATTGGTGTGTGTTCAAAGCAATGGCAAAACATTCTTATGAAAAATAACAATTTGTTTACTAGAATATTTTATATTTCGCGCCTTTTCATCATTAACAGAGAAACGACGGTTTTCTCGTTTTTTTTTCAGTTTTTTCAGTATTTCGTGAATTTCTCAACAACCCCTAAAGATAATTATATCATCGACCACTCCTATGAAATCTGAATATCTCACCTTTCCAACGCGCCTAAATTCATCTTTATAGTTTCATCGAGTCGCGTGTTATAAGCTGAAGAACATTTTATTCTCGTTTTTTATTCAGTTTTTACAGTTTTTCGTGAATTTCTCGACAAGCTGTAGAAATTGAAAAAACAGAGAAACAATGTTTGTAGAATGATTGTTAATGGCTCGAAAACCCCGTGAATTTCCCGCTGTAACAGTGAATACGAGAAACAGTAAATATACAAATTTCAAAATAATAATTACATTCTGCATACTTTTGTGACAGTATTAATTGCATTCTCTTAAAATCCGCGCTTTTATATTGAAATGAACTAAAATTAACGTTTTCTTACACCATAATTACCAATTTTCCTCAACGTCACTCAAAGTTTTTTATTTTTTTTTAAATTAAGGCTCTGAATATCAGTCAATTCTGCCACCCGTCGACTTTAATTCCTTTCTGTCTGGAAGGAAGGAAGAAAGGGGAGACCGCAGTAAGAAAGGAGGAATACATCGCGGAAAACAGCCCTTCTTATGAAATTTCTCCCTTTAGAATTTTAGGGAATACAATGAGCCCAAGTCATTAAAATATTTTCGTTTTCGCTTCATCCTAAGAGAGGAGAATGATGAGGATTAATATTATTCCGTCAGATGACTTTTTCTTTTCTTTACGCAATTTTTTGTTGTTGTTGTTGTTACGTACATTTTGATTTGCTAAAGAAAGATTAATGTATTTAAGGCAGACATTTTATTACGTTAATGCTTTAAGAAGAAGAAAAAAATGTATATAAAGGAAAATATCTTAATTCTTATTTAATTATTTTTTGTTTCAATTAGTTTTATAAAATATTGAAAATAAAGATGAAAAAAAAAATGTAAATTTACTTTATGTAAGTTTGAATGTAATAATTAGAAGTGTAATTTAATGCTAAATATAGCAAAGTGATGTTAAGTTCAGTTGATATAAACAATTGTTATTGGAGGGAATTAATTAATGGATTATGAAAGGTCCGTTGTTTGATGTTCGGTGAACAGGTCAGTTTTGTATACGTACGTGATTCAGTTCCACAAATTTGAACCTAAATTAGTGTTAAGTCGATTTGCGAATATGTGAGAGTGCGTTAAAATATGTTTGGTAGAGAGGCAATAGTGCGTAGTATAGATAATAGAACCGCACATCCACGGCGCGTAACAGCGGTTTGAAGTGTGGTTAGGCCCATCCTGTGTTGCGGTCACAGCATCACATCCTATCACAACACACGAAAGGGCAGTTGGGGATGGCGAGATTGAGAGGGAGGTGGTCGAACCCATCATCATCCCTCTTCATCGCAATCTAAAACCAAATACCAACTAACGAACAGCCCTAACAGAAAATCATCATCCTACAGCAACATCAATAGACTTTCTCCTCGTCTACAATTAAGTAGCTTACTTAATACCGAACCGGGACCAATTAAAGCATGATTACTACTACTACTACTATAGTTTGCGAAGTCTGGGGATGAGGGCTTTGATGGAGAAGGCTCGGTAAAAATATCGAAATTCCGGACCATTCATATGTAAAATTGATGATGGCTGAGCGTTTTGTGTATAGGCGAGAGGAATTTCATTTCATGCACACGCGTTTGATAGTGGCTCCCTTCCTGCATGTGTGTGTATACATGCGGCTTCAGAAGCTCTGCTCAAAATTTATGTGTGTGTATATCGGTTATCGACTCGACGAAGAGGAAGAACCGCGATATAAAAAAAGGAATCGCGCCACCCACAACCATCTTTCCAATACACCCCCCTAAAAGCCAACGACATCCTTGTATTTAGAAGTATATACTCAAAGGATATCTACTTGTAGCCACTCACTTCCTTGACTCGTATGTTATTAATCTTATAATCTACACTTCAACATTACGTATTTATGTCTTCACGTCTTTGCATTTGATTTAATTACTCGATATGTATAAAATTCTTAAGAAAATGAAGCAAATTAGAGATAAAACAATTGTCTTTCAAATAAGCCTACTATCATACTTGTCCTATAAATCATTATTCAATAAAAACAAACTTTCAAATTTGAACATTCCATAATTACATAAGAAGTTGCAATAATAATTATAAGCTGAGAAATATACATTTTTATACAAATTAAAGACAAACTTATGACATTTGTAATACACTTTTATTAATTTACCAAATTTTTGTTATTTATACAGTTAATAAAACTTTAATGTTTCTTAAACGTTTAACAAGTATTAAACAAAATTTATATAAGAATCCAAGTAACAATGTATGTTGCGAACAGTTTTCATATTAATATTGAGTGAATGACAGTATCAAAGGCTTTCTAACGCCCACTAAACTGAACACACTTGACTTCAATAATGTTTGTAATATAGTTTGTAAAGTGTAGAAGCTTATTCGCCGATGGTCGAGCACTATATAGTCTTGTCGTAGTTCAAGCAGAACATATTTTATAAAAGTTTATTAATAATTATATAACAATTTCTTTACTTGTTTTCTTGAAATTTTTGATGAACAGAAAGTAAATATATTTGTTTATTAAAACAAATAAATATTAATAATTTATATTCACAAATTAATGAATTTATTATCAATTAAGAGACTTAATGTAAAATTTATTTAAACTATGAAATTTCCTGAAAATATATAATTGATTCTATTTGAACAGCAATTAAAACAAATAAATATTAATAATTTATATTCTGAAATTAATGAATTTATTATCAATTAAGAGACTTAATGTAAAATTTATTTAAACTATGAAATTTCCTGAAAATATATAATTGACACTATTTGAACAGCAATTTTGTGATTTGCTTAAAAAATAGAAAAAAACGGTGATTAATTAGCCATAAATCAATCAAAGAACATCTTGAGGATAAATTAATTAATCCCAATTTCGAGGGCGAAAAGTTTCGACTCGCTTAAATAAATATTTAATGTCGTATAATTAATGTACTTATTTTTTGGTTTTACGGGTAATTTAACAAGAGGCTTGCCGAGTTTAAATATTTTTAACAACCGGCTCGCGCTGGCTCCAGTCCTGTTCACATGTATACAATAAATCAAATGTCGAATTTATTTAAATATCTTTATTGTTTTTGCAATTGTTATCAATTTGATTGAAATTTCTTACTCGTATATTACAAACATAAAAAATATACATATATTTACACAATAATTAATAATTTAAGAGGATTCTACGCGCAGTGTTCCTAAAAAAGTATTTACAAGGTTTATTCTTTGTTGAGGTAATACCTTTTGTTTTGTCAGTTTCTATTTATACAAATGGTATAGGTCTTTCATATCATCTAATGAATCATTTGGCAGGTATTTATCAAGGAAATCAGCGATGGGAATATTACAAGTATCATCAATTGTGGCCGCGAGATCATCCAGAGATGCATATGCTAATTCTTCAGTAGTACATGCTGGGGCTGTGTTCTCTCTGTACTGTACTTGTTGATTAATGTTTTCAGTGTTTGCATAACTATCTAAAGAGTATTGTCCTTGAATGTTATGGATGTCATGAACATCATTTTGTACGTTGTGTTCAATTGGAGATTGCGTCATTTGTACTTTCGGCATTTGATAATTGTAGCCCATTTGAATGGGACTTGCAAACTGATTGGGATTTGACATTTGCTGCTCTTGCTGCAGCTGCTGTTGTTGAAAGTTCTGTCGTTGTTGCTGCAGCTGTTTTTGCTGTAGCTGTTGTTGTTGTTGCTGCAGTCGTTGATGTTGCTGTTGTTGTTGTTTATATTGTTGCATCTGTTGTCGCAGCTTGTGTTGTTGTTGCTGCTCTTGTTGTTGTTGCTGCAGCTGTTGTTGGTGCTGCTGTTCTTGTTGTTGCTGCAGCTGTTGCAACCTCTGTTGTTGTTGCTGCTGTTTTTGTTGTTGCTGCAGCTGTTGCAACCTCTGTTGTTGTTGCTGCTGTTCTTGTTGTTGCTGCAGCTGTTGCAATTTCTGTTGTTGTTTCTGCTGATCTTTTTGTTGCTGCAGCTGATGCAACTTCTGTTGTTGTTGTTGCAGCTGTTGTTGCATTTTCTGATGTTGCTGCTGCTGTTGTTGTTGTTGTTGTTGCTGCAGGTTTTGATGTTGTTGCTGTTGCAGCTTATCGAAGTATTGTTTTTGTAACATCGCGTTTTGTTGGTACTTATAATTTCTGCTTGAATTGTATTGCTGTTCAACATTATAATTTGGAGTATTCATTTGTGTACCCAAAGTCAATTGATTATTACTATTATTAATCACGTTGAAAACTGGAGCTCCCAGTGAATGCATTTGCACGTTTGGAATCACAGAATTTTCAAAAACTTTATCCGCTGGTTTTTGAACTGTTGCGGATGGATCTACGACCCTGAAATTTTTACACACGATGAACCTGATTTCATCGGTGAAGGGATTAATGTAGGACTCTCCATCGCAGTGAACCGTCGCGTATTGCCCGCTGACACCTAGCACACGATAAGAGGTCGAAAATTCTTTACCTTTGTTTTGTATAAGTTTCTCAAAATAATTCAAGAACTTTTGCTTGTCGGAAGGATGGACGAACTGCAAAAAGTTAAGTCCAATTATTCGGTCCGTATTATATCCCAGGTTGTTCAGCAAATTTCCGCTTGCATTCGTAATGCCTCCATTTAGATTGAGGACTGTTTCAAATGAATCTTGAATGGAATGATCCCTCTCGTTGGTTTCAGCAGATATCATTTTTCCGAAAACTATTAACTGACTATTAATTGACTGCTTCTTGGTGTTGTTGTTTATAATGTATCCATTGCAGTGGACGATGGAATATCCGAAATTAGGAGATTTTATGCGACACTTGAAGTTCCGTTTGGTACGGATCGCGTCTCTGTACTGCGGTACGCTGTCCTCCCTCCTCACAGTCCCTGTTTTCAAATCCAAGAATTGGTTCTTGGAATCTGGAAGTAACTGCTCTCTAAGAACTTCGTGGTCCTCGGTATGAACAAGATTGAATATATTTGTACCAATCCAAGCTTCGTTCTGCATCAACGTTTGATCACTCCGCGTATATCTGAAGATTATCCCTGTGGTACAGTCGATGGCAAGCACAAATCCTTTGGTCACATCAAACACGACGGAATTGAATTCCTTCTTTGTAAGGAAGAAGTCTTTGAAGTCCTTCTGCGAGTACTCACGCATAAGGTCTGAAGCGCACTGCAACACGTTCACTCTTTCCGGCCTTCTTATCATCACTTTCTTATTCTTCACGAAGTCTGACAGTTCGTTTATGAAGACAGCCATTTTGTTTCTACGACGTCTTTCGACTTCATTGTGACTTTCCCGTTTCTCCTTAGAGTTGCCATCGTCGGGGCTGTACTGCTGTATGTCCGAACTCATCCCGATCTTTGGATGCACTGCGATTAGGAATCTGATAATATGAGCGCCACCTACTCCTGATTTTGTAGCACTGTTTTCGCAGAAGAAGAAGTAACAATTTTTACCTGACCAATAAAACTTGCAAATTCTAAAGAATTTCACCGGTGTCATGTAAATGGGAAAGGTGAATATAAACAAAAATTCTTCGGTAGCAACAATATTATCTTCTTCTCTACACTTAATTATTCACAAACACTATACACATTACTTTCATAATCTACATGTTTAAAATATTTCAGAATTAAAAAAAAACACAACATAAATAAATAACAACAAAAAAAATTGTAAAACTGTTAGTTTTTCGGTTTAGCACAAATGCGAGTATTATTTTAAAATTAATATATTGCAAGCTAAATTAACAATTATTAATAACATTCAATAATAATACAACAATTGGTAAGAACAAAAACAAATGAAATAACCTAAAAATATGTAAAAAGTTCGAAAACACTTTGAAAATTCTGAGAAACCCTGTTGTTCCCAGAAGTTTCCTGAAATTCTGAAATTTTCACAGAACACCTTTTCTACTCATCGTTAAATTGTAGTTAAGAGCTTCTTCTTCTTCGGAATTCGAAAAGTATTAAACTTTAAAAATATATCTTACATATGAAACGTTGATTTATTGCAGAAATTTTGATAATTAAATTAACTTTACATTAATATAATGCACGCAGTGCGAAGACAGATTAAGTTTCAGGAGTGTTCGATAAGTGAAAATAATGCAACTCCCATTAACGAATCACTTATTTACACTAAAACTAATTCCAATGTTCAGTCGGAAGTTGCGCAACGCTCAACACCGGAAGTGTACTTCTTTGTTTTGTTTTCCAACTGAAAGTTTGCAAAAAGATGATACAATATTCATTAATCTCTGAACAGAAAATACTTTAAATCTATAAAGAATTCATTGATAATCTCAATCTAAATTTATCTACTAATTACTGAATTCCCTTTTCAATTAAGTTAATCAATTTATATAGTGCAATGACAATCAAAAGTTTAATTAATATTAATTAGATGTTTTCTTTTTCTTTTTGGAAACTGAAATGCCTAAAGTTTTTTTTTTTTTTAAATAAAATATTAACGCGCGCCAAATTGCAGAATTCCGTTATTGACGTCGAGTGCAGACGCGGAATCCACTTAATTGAATCAATTTACGACTGTGAATTGAATAATCCTGGCGTTTTATATGCGGCCGCGTATGCAAATGAGGACGGCGACACAACACACCGAAATTCGAAAACCGCATAAAATCCACGAATTTATTAAGCGCAAACACAACAGAACTGCCACGGTTAATTACCGGCGTCGCCTATTGTTAGCAAAATAGTTACGTAAATCAAAAACAGTTTGGAAGACTCTGAAAGCCTGTGCCACTAATTTACACGAAACATTATATTATTTAATCCACGAAATGGATATTTATTGCCGATCGATTTATTACTGCTATTAATCATTTATTATGTTTTATAAACGGAAAACTCTCAGGAGATTCGTTTTAATTATCTTTAATATTCATTAATATAAATTGGGACAAATCAGTGTAATTAATGGAAATAATATAAAAATAGAAGTATTTACATTTTATTAGTAAAAAGATATTTAGATTTTTATCTTGTTTAAAGTTTTCCAATTAAATTTTAAAATGAAAACGAAAATTGAACAAGTCCATCTCTTTAATTCCTAAGATATTTGCATCTGGTGGAGATGCTGTATCGATTGAATATTACGATACCAAAGGAAACCGTCTTCGGCCTTCCCAAAATACAAGCGTTCGAATTAAGTTAATGAAATTCTCGAATGGCTCTGAGAAATTCTAAAAGATTGCATAAGTTGTTCGAGCATCTCGAGGAATACTGGGAAATATGCGGAATGGAGAATTCAAGTGCATTTCATTCCTCTGTGTTTTGTCTATTTTACTCTTATAATTTAATCAACTTTGAAATTTCAAATAATTCAAATATTCTTGCAAAAATTATTATAATTTTTAATATAAATTTTGTATGAAATCATTAATTATTATATGTTTTGTATTAATATATTCAAAAACTTAATAAATCTATGATAATTTATAAAATTGTGAATTTTCTGTGCGAAAAACCAAGGAATCTCTAGGGACGTTGGTATAAATATTACAAAAGATTCGCTATGTTTCAAATTCAAAGGACGCTTTTGTCCGCTTATAAATTTCCTCGATACAATCTCTCATTTCCTACCAACATTCCTTTCACTTCTAGAATCCTCTCTTTCGACCGTCTTTATTTCCGCCTATATTATAAGAAAACGTCGATTTTATGATCATCCTCAGCACTTACGACATTTTTTTTTTTCAATTTCCTATACTCAATACACACTTATTATTAAAATTTAACAAATTCATTCCATAAACAATATTTATAGTCTCCTTAACCCAGCGTTTAATAGATAGAATGAATCTAATATATGTATATGAAAGCTGAATGTTTGGGGAATTTAGCAAGTATCGATATATTTCTGTGATTTTAGCCGTTTGGCTGTAATTCGTGTTCAAAGTTGAAAAAATGCGCGAAAAAGCAGTGTTTTTACATTTCATTGATTTTCTCGAAAACTATAATACATAGAATTAATCCTATATGTGCATATGGAAGCTGAATGTTTGGGAAATGTAGCAAGTATTCATACATTGCTGTGTTTTCATCCGTTTGGC